AGGTAAAATACTTACACATTAAAAAGTATAAAGCATTGATATGAAAAATTAAAGAAGATCTGAGTAACCAAAGCAATATTTAGCAAGATAAAAGCTAACATCACACTCCCTGATTTAAAAATATATTACAAAGATATAATAATTAAAACGGTATGGTACCACCATAGAAACAGAACCTATAGACCAGTGGAACAGAATAGAGACCCCAGAAGTAAATTTACACATTTACTGTCAACTGATGTTTGATAATGATGCCAATAAAAACAATGGGAAATGGAGAGACTCTTCAAAAAATGATGTTGGAAAAACTATTCCTGCATGTGGCAAAAGTAAATTGGACCTTTATCTCTCATCATGTACAAAGATGAACTAAAAATGGATTGAAGACTTAAATGTAAGAACTGAAACCATAATACTCCTAGAAAATAACATAGGCAAAAAGCCTTTTGACTTTGGTCTAGGCAATGATTTTTAGATATGACACCAAACACAAAGCCAACAAAAGCAAAGATAAGTAAGGCTACATCAAATTAAGAAGCTTCTGCGCAGCCAAGGAAATATTCAAGTGAAAAGTCAATATATGGAATGGAAGAAAATATTGTCAAGTCCTATTTCTAATGAGGGATTCATATTCAAAATATATGAGGAACTCATTCAACTCAAGAGCAGAATGCCAAAAAACTCAATTAAAAAATGAGTAAAGAGCCTGAATATACATTTTTCAAAAGAAGACATGCAAGTGGCTAAGAGGCATATGAAAAAATTCTCAACACCACTAATCATCAGGGAAATGCAAATCAAAGCCACAATAGCATATTATCTTACACATGTTCTAATGGCTTTCATAAAAAGGAAATAACAAATGTTGGAGAGAATGTAAAGAAAATGCTTGTATACTGTTGGTGGGAATGTACCTTGGTACAGCTGTTATGGAACAGTAAGGAGGTTCCTCAAGAAATTAACAATACAATTGCCTTATGATCCAGCAATTACACTTCTGACTATATCCAAAGGCAATAATATCAGTATGTTGAAGAGATATTTGCACCCCCATGTTCAATGCATCAGTATTCACAGTGGTGAAGATATGGAAAAAAATCTAAATGTCCAGCAATGAATGAATGGAAAAAGCAAATACGGTGTATATATACAATGAAGTATTATTCAGCCTTAAAACAGAAAAAAATCCTGCCATTTGTGGCAAATGGATGAAACTGGAGGACATTAAGCTAAGTGAAATAAGCCAGTCAGAGAAACACAAATACTGCATAATCACATTATATGTGCAGTTTCAAATATTCAAGCTTGATATATCAAACTGAATTTTGTAAGGTGATCTTTGAGAGGGGATTTCCTTCACTTAGAAGTTTGACTGATACTTTGGTGTTCATGCTGCTGTTTATTGCTGCAGTGACTTACCTTGTCTTGTCTTGATGCTGCTGATGTGAATCACCCACTGTGAGTGAGCTGGTTGCTACTTCAGCTTTATCTTGCTCTCTCAGAGGCCGAGGGTAGATTGGTGTTTGCCAGGGGCTGGAAAAAGGAAGAAACAGGTTGATGTTGAACAAAGGGCACACATTTTCAGTGGTGCAAGATGAGTAAGATTTAGAGTAATGTAACTATAGTTAGCAATACTGTATTGTATACTTGAAATTTGCTGAGAGGGTAGTGCTTATTTGTTTTTATTCACCCAAAAGAAAAAGATAACTATGTGAGGGGATTGATTGAGGTGATTTACATGTTAATTAGCTTGATTGTGGTGATTATTCCATAGTATATATGTATATCAGAATGTCAAGTTGTATGCCTTAAATACACACAGGTTTTGTGTCAATTATACCACAATGAAACTGTAGAAAGAACCAAATTGAATTCTGTAAGGTTATCTTTGAGAGGAGATTTCCTTCACTTAGGAGTTTCACTGATATTTTGACGTTCATGCTACTAGTTTATTGCTGCAGTGACTTGCCTTGGCTTGACTTATACTGATGTGAATCACTCACTGTGAGAGAGCTGGTTGTTACTTCAGTTCTGTCCTGCTCTTTTCTCACCTCATAGCAGCATTGGTTACCAAGGTGGTGTTTCTGAGAAATTGGAGGGAGTAAGGACATGTTAAAAATCTGGATTGATTAAGTCATATTTGGACGATTAGTCAAATACTTCTCTTCCAATTGGGCAGTATCAGTCCCAGGTTCTATTCCGTAATTTAAAAAAATCTTATTTTCCTTTTTATTGGCTCCTCTTTTGTGTCAAGAAGGGAAGTTTGCTACTAGCTTCTTCCCAACTTCTTTGGGAAAGTTCATTAAGACAGACATCTTGAGTCTCATAATTAGTTTACAGGCAGATAGATCCTGGGAAAGGCAGATAAAGAAAATAAGTTTGCTTTCTCTTTTGTCAGCTTGGTTGTAGCTACTAACAGAAATGGAACTTAGGGAAAGTATGTCCACATTCAGGATAAGAGCAAAGGATACTAATTTATCTTTAAGACAATGAGATAATGATTCATCCTGATTTTTCCTTATGGTCAGCATCATTTAAACTGATCTTCCTCAGATTTATAGTGCTGTCTTCTTCAGAGGCTGTCAATGGACTGCAGGGTGATGATGTGGAGGCAGGTTATTACAGAAAAGACACATTCGTACTCTACTAGGGGACATCTGTCTATATTATAAGGAGTATGTTTCTCAGAATAGCAAAATTTCTGGTCAGCTCTGATTACCAGTGTTTCAGCTATACATTTTTATTTTTACTTAGTCCCCCAAGAAGAGATTATGTGGAGGATGCTTGTAATTCCTCCTCAACAAGAGGGAAAACAGGCATAGCTGCTACAGTCCTCTTTTCAGTAAGCTGTAAATAGTAGTTACACTTAATACCTCCTGCTCCAGATTCCCTTTTCCCTCAGCCTTTCCTGTGTTGGGATTGTTTTTTATCTGGTGGGAAGACTCAAATCTTAATTCCTAAAGCGTCTGAGTCTTTAGTGACCCTGCCTTCATTGCATTCCTGTGGTCTTTAATTAATTACTACTGAACTTGAAGTAATTAGATGTTTCTCAGAGAACTCCTTGGTTTTTAGGCATAATTCTTTCTTCCTTGATGGTGTTTATTTCCCCTTGATAGCTAGAATCAATCCCTTTTTATTGACCAGTTGATTCAGTGGCACTGGGAGCCTAACTTGTCCAGGTGGCAGTCTCAACTTCCATGTCACCAGGACAGTGTTGCCTACTTACGTGAAGTCACTTATTTCTTGGGAAGCCTTTTAGACTGACAGACCTCAGACTCATGGGAGTGAGAAACAAGAGTATATAATAAATAGATTGTTGAATATGATAGTAAAAGAAACCACTCCCACTTTTATCTCTCTAGTCTTGAAATTATGCATTTTGGTCACAAAACTAAAAAGCACCACATATAATCATTGATTCAAATAAAGGACTGCATTTTATGGGGTTTTTTCAGCCTTGCAGATGTTGCTTTTCAAGTAGCAACATGTTTTTAGTAGGATATTCCAATGATCTAGATAGGCAGCTGCTTCTATGTAAAGAAATATATATGTATATATAGAGTAATATTGGTCAATTCCCTAAGTAGGAGTTCTTCACTGTACTTTTTTTTGTGGTAAAATTAGTTCCTGGATCAGAAACCACTTTGCACAGAACAGCATAATGACAATACAAATGTTGTCATATGTCTGTGCTTGATGATGCTGGCAGAAGCACTGCAGCTAAGGAAGGCATATTCGTATATAGGATAATTGTCCAATCCAGTGGGAAAAAAAGCTCTTGTCTCCCTATGGTGGAAGAGGTCCGGTATAATCAATCAGTAGAGAATGCATGCCAATCTGGGACTTAATGCATCATCACTATCATTGACATTTGGGCAATGAGTGGTTTCAGCAGGCAGAGAAGCTGTGGGAAGAGAAAATCCATTTTGTTGACCTCATGCATAACCTCCAGCTCATTACCATGGCTGTTTTGTACGTGAGTCCATCAAACAAGCACCGGAGTTACTCAAAAAGTGGCTGACACTCACAGGATGGGGCACGTTGTCCATTCGACCATAGAAAGCGTCCTCTCTAAAAGGCAACTTTGTATAATGATGTAAATAATTCATGACTGTGTCATACTTTGTGCTCATTCTGAAAGTTATATTAACACATTTCCCAGACTTCCTTTCACTAACCTTTCAACTTGATTTATGCTAAGATTCTGACCAGCTGACAAACCCATCAGCTCATGTTAATGGGCCTAGTGTGTATTTTTATGGTCACTTAGTGTCTTATTATCAGGCATCTCTTTTTATTTGTAGAAACGTATTCGGTACAAGTACAATTTTGTTACATGCATAGATTTCATAGCGGTGAAGTCAGGGGTTTTAAGGTATCACCCTAAAAATGTACATCATAATCATTAAGTGATTTCTCATCATCCACTCATTCCAACCCCCTCACCCTTTTGAGTCTCCATTGTGTATCATTCCATACCTGATACCCATTGGTATACATTATTTATTAATAGCTCCCACTTGTAAGTGAGCATATGTGATATTTGTCTTTCTGTGTCTGACTCGTTTCACTAAAGCCTTCAGTGTCATCCATGTTGCTACCAAAAATGTGATTTCATTCTTTTTTATGGCTGAATAGTGTTCCATTGTGTATATATGCCACATTTTATTTCTCCAATCAGCTGTTGATGGACACTTAGGTTTATTCCATACCTTAGTTATTGTGAATAGAGCAGTAATAAACATATGAGTGCAGGTATCTTCTTGATATATAGATTTCTTTTCCTTTGGGTAGATACCCAATAGCGGGATTGCTGGATGAAATAGCAGTTCTATCTTCAGTTCTCTGAGAAATCTCCATAGTGTTTTCCATAGAGGTTTTAGTAATTTACATTCCCACCAACAGTATATGAGTTCCCTCATCCCTGTGTTCTTGCCGAAATCTGTTATTTTTAAATTTATTTTTATTTTTTTGAGACAGAGTCTCACTTTGTCTTCCAGGCTGAAGTGCAGTTGGGGTGATCTTGTCTCATTGTAACTTTTGCCTCCGGGGTCAAGCGATTCTTCTCCCTCAGCCTCCTGAGTAGCTGGGACCACAGGTACGTGCTACCATGCCTGGCTAATTTTTGTATTTTTTAGTACCGATGGGGTTTTTCCATGTTGGGCAGGCTCGTCTCAAACTCCTGACATCAGGTGATACACCTACCTCAGCCTCCCAAAGTGCGTAATAATAGCTATTCTGACTGGGTCAAGATGATATAACATTGTGATTTTAATTTGCATTTCCCTGATGATTATTGATGCTGAATATTATTTCATATACCTGTGTGTCTTCTTTTGAAAAATATCTATTCATATCCTTTGGTCACTTATTAATGATATCATTCATTGTTTTAGTTGTTGTTCAGTTGTTTGAATTCCTTATATATTCTGGATATTAGACCTTTGTCACATGAATAGTTTGCAAATATTTTAACCCATCCTGCAGATTGTGTCTTTATTCTGTTGATTATTTCCTTTGCTGGGCAGAAGAGTTTTAGTTTAATATAGTCACATTTGTCTGTTTTTGTTTTTGTTGTATTTGCTTTTGAGGACTTGGTCATAAATTCTTTGCTTAGGCCAATGTCCAGTAGAGTTTTTTCTAGGTATTATTCTAGGATTTTTATTGTTTTACCTTTTATGTTTAGGTCTTTAATCCATTTTGAGTTAATTTGTGTTACTGTTGAGAGATAGGGGTCCAGTTTCATTCTTCTGCAAATGGCTATCTAATTTTCCAAGTACCATTTATTCAACAATGTGTCCTTTCCCCAGCGTGTGTTCTCATCAAATCTGTCAAAGATCAATTGGCTGTAAATATGTAGCTCTTTTTCTGTGTTCTCTATTCTGTTCCATTGACTTATGTGTCTATTTTTATGCCAATACCATGTGTTTTTAGTTCCTAGAGGCTTTTAATATAATTTGAAGCCTGGAAAGGGGTCCTCCAGCTTTGTTCTTTTTGCTTAGAATTGCTTTGGTACTTGGGCATTTGGGGGGCTCCATATGAATTTTAGATTTTTTGTTTATTTATTTATTTTTATCATACTTTCAAGTTCTGGAGTACAAGTGTAAGAACATGCAGGTTTGTTAAATAGTATAACACGTGCAATAGTGCTTTGCTGCACCCATCAACCGTTCATCGTACCATTAGGTATTCTCCTAATATTTGTCGCTCCCCTAGCCCCACCGCCCAACAGGCCCCAGTGTGTTGATGTTCCCCTTCCCTGTTGTCCATGTGTTCTCACTGTTTCAAACCCACTTAGAGTGAAAACATTGTGGTGTTTTGTTTTCTGTTCTTGTGTTAGTTTTGCTGAGAATGAATGTTTCCAGGCTTCATCCCATGTCCCTGCAGAAAGGACATTGGAAGACTCATCTTTTTATGCTGCATGGTATTCTGTGTTATGTGTCACGTATTTCTTGTATCCGTCTATCCTCGATCAATATTTGGGTTGGATTCCAAGTCTTTGGTATTGTGAACAGTGCACAATAACATATGTGTGCATATTGTCTTAGAGTAGAATGATTATAATTCCTTTGGGTATATTAACCAGTAATGGAATTTCTGGGTCAAATGGTATGTCTAGTTCTAGATCCTGAGGAATCACCACCTGTCTTCCCAGTGGCTGAACTAAATTTATACGTCCCACAGTAGTTGTAAAAGCGTTCCCTATTTTTCACATTCCTCTCCAGGATCTGTTGTTTTCCTGACTTTTTATGATTGCCCTTTAACTGGCATTGAGATGGTATCTCAGCTGTGGTTTTTGATTTGCATTTCTCTAATGACAAGTTGATGATGAGGATTGTTTTCATATGTTTGTTGGCTGTAAATGTCTTCTGGGAGAAGTGTCTGTTCATATGCCTTTGTCCGTTTTTGATGGGGTTATTTGGTTTTTTTCTTATAAAATGTTGTTTAAGTGTTTGTAGATTTCTGGATAGTTAGCCCTTTGTCAGGATGGTAGATTGGCCGAAAATTTTCTCTCACTCTGTAGGTTGCTGTTCACTCTGATGATGTGTTCTTTGCTGTGCAGAACTTCTTTAGTTTAATAGATCCGCATTTGGTCAATTTGCTTGTGTTGCCTTGGCTTGTGTTTTAGTGATGACAGATCTTTGCCCATGACTCGGCTGAAATGGTGACTTTGCCTAGATTTTTCTTTCTCAGGGTTGGTTGTTGGTTTAGGTTTTAGGCCTTTAAGTCTTTAATCCATCATGAGTTAGTTTTTGTATAAGGGTGTAGTGGGGGAAGGGTCCAGTTTCCCAGTTTTCGCAACATGGGTTAGCCAGTTGTTTCTGACATCATTTATTCATTTATGTAAAGCAGGGACATCCATTTCGTCCATTTCTTGTTTTGTCAGGGTTTGTGGAGGTCAGATGGTTGTCCGGGGCGCTGGTATGGGCGTGGTGGTTATTTTCTGAGGGCCTCTGTCTGTCATTCATCTATATATCTGTTTTTTGTGGTACCAGTACCTGCTGTTTTGCTTACTGTAGCCTTTTGTGCGAGTTTGCAAGCAAGCTAAGCGTGATGCCTCGAAACCTTTGTTCTTTTTGCTTAGGATTGTCTTGGCTCATGGTGAGCTCGCTTTTTTTTCAGGGTTCATATGAATATTAAGTTAGTTTTCGCCTAATTCTTCCGACGAATGTCGGCAATCCGGTAGCTTTATTTGGGGATACATGTCATATTTAATAAATTACTGTTGGGCAGTATGGTCCATTTTCATATTGATTCTTCCCTACTTCCATGAGCATGGAATGTTTTTTTCCAGTTGGTTTGTGTCTCTGCTTATTTCTTGAGCAAGTGGTTTGTAAGTTCTCCTTTGAAGGAAGTCCTTCACGGGGGGGTGTAAGTTGGTATTCCTAGGTAATGTTTATTTTCTTTATAGCGGTGGTGAATGGGAGTGTCTATCATGATTGGCTGTCTGTCTGTTAGGGGGTTGATAGAATGCTTGTGATTTTTGCACATTGATTTTGTATCCTGGAGACATTGAGCTTAAGCTGCTTACAGCTGAAGGAGATTTTGGACTGAGACGATAGGATTTTCTAAACATACAATCATGTCATCTGCAAACAGAGACAATTTGAGTTTCTGTCTTCCTATTTGAATATGCTTTATTTCTTTCTCTTGCCTGATTGCCCTGGTCAGAACTTCCAATACTATGTTGAATAAGAGTGGTGAAAGAAGGCATGTTTGTCTTGTGCCAGTTTTCAGAGGGAATGCTTCCAGCTTTTACCCATTGAGTTTGATATTTGTTGTGGGTTTGTCATAAATAGCTCTTACTATTTTGAGATCTATTCCATCAATACCTAGTTTATTGAGAGTTTTCAGCATGAAGCGATGTTGAATTTTGTTGAAGGCCTTTTCTGCATCTATTGAGATATTCATGTGGTTTTTGTCATTAGTTCTTTTTATGTGATGGATTAGGTTTATAATTTGTGT